CCCGCCGCTCTCCTGGCTGTAACGGCCCGTGGCTGCGAGAGCTGTACGGAAGCTACCCCCTAGGTTCAGAACCTGGGATCGTGCCCTACCTGCTTGCTGGATTTCACTTCCCTTCTCCTTTCCTGGGGTTTCATCCAGCAACCGACGGACCGCTCACTAACTGGTAGGCATCATCTGCTAAAAGTCACCCACGCAGAGACCCGTTGTTTGTTTGGTCGGTTTTCATTCCAGACCTCTGAAACGCAAGCGGGCAGCGCAAGCCCTTTCTAAATTATAGGTAGTACCTCCTACTGGAGAAAAAATTCCGGCTTAGCCTCTCGCAGTTGTTTTTGACGGAGCCCTAAAGCACCCACCTCCCCTCTTGGCGCGACGTGGCCATGTCAGCCCCCGTAGCGCTCTCACCTGCCTGTCTTCTGCCGGGAGCCTCCTTCACCTCGCCGCGTTGCCCCTTGGGGTCTTCAGCGAGGGCCGCCCTTCCCAAGGGACTCTGGACTCGCTGTCCTCCGGGTATTTGCGTCCTCACCCTGAAAGCAGGGTCTGCTGTCCCTTTTCCTCGGCCGAAGCGGCCGTTTCACCTCCTGCAGCCAGGCATTCCTCAGAACCAGAGCTGGCAGCCTGCCCCTAAACGAGCTGTGATCGCCCTTTTATAGCCTTCCTCTAGGTCCGAGAGGTACGGCAGCTGAAAGGCGGCAGGTTTGATGGAGCTCACAGGTGCTCGTTAACCGTTGGCTTCCCACTAGAGATAAAGCATATGGCCCCGACGAACGGTTGTGGGAACGCAAGGGGCACCAGCACGGACTTGAAACAGCATCGGCGGCGGGTGCAAGGACTAAGAGGGTTGGTGGGGGTCGAGACTGACGGTGTCGATTAATTTCCTGCAGCAAAAACGCACAGGTCGGACATAGCTGTTGGAAAGACAAACCCGCAGGCTGCTTTCTCTAACACCCAGACAGCTTTTCCACACTCGGTTCTCATTCACACACCTCATCGTCCAGCGGCGCAGGCGTCTGTCGGCTCGGGGGTGACACTAACGCGCTCCTTCTGCTTACAGGTTACAGATAAAAACTACATCCGCTTTCTCTCCAACTGGAAGAAAGAGAACAAGCCCCACGTCCTGCTGTTTGACCATATGCCAGTTGTGCCGTTATTGTACAAGGTAACGTCATCTCTGTCGCCGTTTTGTGGACTTGTGAATAAATCCAGTTGTTCCAAAAGGAAACGTGGTATTGCTGGGAGCAGAGGCGGACCGACGCCTCCACATACCGCTGAGCGGTTCTAGGAGAGCAGGTTGACTGGCGTCGGTCGGGAACGGCGCGGCCGGATGACCGACTGCATTAGGAGTCAGTTCTTCTGTCCCGCCACGGACGTACCCTGAGCGGACGCGAAGGCGCGGGGCGGGTTCCGAGGCAGCGGCGACGGAGGCACGTACTGACCCGTATTGGTAACGGGAGATTTTCACGGCACGTCTCCTGCGGGTTATGGGAAAGGCCGTTTCCTAAGAAACCCCCGCTGCCGTGCAGAACGTCAGGTTGCACAATAAAGCTGGGGATCCATTGAGGCTCCCCATACCAGGACTAGGAGAACGCAAACTGCAGTTCAGCCAGGGAGAGGACGGGCTTTTGGCTCTGGCAGCACGCACCCCGTGACATTGACACGGCGGGAGGTCTTCTCCAAGCGAAGCCACCACAGGCACTCGGGGAAGGAAACGTTCTCTCTCTAACGTAAACACGCACCGGTGCTCTCTTCCCATCCAGCTGACTGCCTTTGCCTACCGCGACTACTTGTCCTTCGGTTACGTCTACGTCGGACTCCGAGGCACCGAAGAGTTGTCCAGTCAGTACAACATCAATGTCTACACTCCCACCATGATGGTCTTCAAGGAGCACATCGACAGGCCCGCCGACGTCGTGCAGGTATCGCTCGGTCCTCTCCGAGTGGTTCCGTGAACTGGACGCCGCGGGCTTCCGACCGGGCTTGCGACGAGGGGTTGGGCGGTGGCACGTTTCAGAGGCCAGAGCATTCGTTCTCCGACGAAACTCGGGCTTCGGCCGAGAGTGACCGGTAGGAGGGAGGAAGCTCAGTACGCCTCAGCGATGGTCTCTGACCTTTCCAAGAGGGTGGCTGCAAGGAGCTTCTCGGTCTCGCGGCCTCAAAACGCCTCGGGTGATTTCAGCGCGGGCCGCGACGGCTGGCGGCCTTCCCCGGGCTTCCGCCGAGACCTTCGCGACGGCTTTACTCTCCTCGTCCCGCTCGGGCCTGACCTCTCTCTGCTTCCTTTGTCCTCGCCAGGCACGAGAAATGAAGAAGCAGCTCATTGACGACTTCCTTTCCCAGAATAAGTTCCTGATGGTGGCCAGGCTCACCAACCAGAGCCAGAGGCTGTTCCAGGAGCTGTGTCCCGTGAAGAAGTCTCACCGGCAGCGAAAGTAAGGCTCCGCGGGTGACGCGTCCCCCCCGTTTTGTTCCCCGAGGCACTGGGGCGGCTCCTAAAGCCGCCTTCCGTTTGGTTTCGAGGGAGAAAGGGAACGACCGCGCCGGATCGTGCCGGGTATCCGCGCTTTTCGATACGTTTCTGGCGCTTCGGGATCCTTCCGGCTGGCGGAAAGGGGACGACCGCTTCCCCTCACGTCCAGAACAGCTCCTGATTCTACCTCTGGTTGTGTTGCCCAGGCACTGCGTGGTCTTACTCAGTGGAGAAGGCGAGAAGTTTGCCGAGGCTTACGAGGCCTTTTTGACATTTGCCGCGGCCAACACCAAAGACACGCTGAAGTTCGTGCACGTCTATAACGACCGGCAGCCGGAGCTGGCGGACGCCTTGCTGATGGATGATGAGAAGTATCGGGGAAAATCAGCCGTGAGGGTTTCCTTCTATTTTTTTTCCCCTTCTTCTTTTCATCCGTCGTTCTACTTGATGTGGGATGCTGTACCTTGATCTGACGCCTAATTCTGGGCAGTGATTCTCAGCGTAACATCTGTCCAGTAAAAAGTACCCTCCTCTCTGACATCTGTGATGTTATTGGCTTGTCCAGGTGGTCGTTTTGGAGAGACGCAACAACGCCGGGAAGATCGCCTATAAAACCTTGGAGGAGGCCTGGCAAGGCAGCAAGGAGGACAACTTCATCCTCCTGGATCTTCTGGACCAGCTGAGGACAGACCCCGGCCTTCTCTCTTCCGAGACCGTCCTGGCAGACTTGAACGACGAACTCGCTCCCGTAAGCGCGCGGCCCTTCCAGCCGCCTACCAACCCCGGGACCTTTTTGGACAGTCCCGTCGCGGTCACGCACGTGCGTGAGTTGCATTTGAAAATACCGAGGCGAGACTCTCAACTCGCTCACGGAAGGAAGCTCGTGGCGTGCTCCGAAGCTGCTTCCACTCGGGGTTACCATGAAGGGGCGGGAGGGCATCCTGTTAGGGCTCTGGATAGCGGGTGCGTAACGTGCCTTTTGTCTTTTTCTGTTGAAACAGATGTTCCTTATCCGATGGCTCTACTCCGTGCTGGACTATATCTCGGACTGCTGGGACAGTTTGTTTCACAGTAACTGGTACGGATTGGGTGTTAACGAGTCTCATAGGCAGCAGGATTGCTCTTATCTTGTTCAGAGGCGTAGCAGCACCAGGTTCTCCGTAACAGAATTGAGAACGTACCAAAACACACGGGTGCCCGCAGTCTCTGTAGATTTAGGTGAAAAGCGGTGACACCGCCGCGACGTTAGCTTCTGCCCGAGTACGGGGTGCTCTGGCCTTGAGCCTGAGCGTGGACGTTACGCTCCTGGAAACACGCACCGATTGCTATTTTTCACCGGTCCCTGTCCCCTTTCATTTAAAATGGATCCCTTTTTTGTCCTCCTTTTGGGTGGGAGCAGGACAGCGCTCAACATATCGATCGTCTTTAAGGCCCCAGGAAACGAGCCGAGTTTCTGGGGAAACTGCACGGTATTATTTCTGGGGAAATAGCACAGAAACTGCGCAACTCGCGGCTCTGATTGCTGTTTGCAATTCTTCCCTTCAGGCGAGAAATGATGCCGCTGCTGTCCTTGCTCTTCTCGGCGCTCTTCATTCTCTTCGGCACCGTTATCGTTCAGGCTTTCAGGTGAGCGCAGGCCCTCGGGGATCTTACACCTCAGTCCGACCTGGCACCTTAAACGCACCCAAATGCTCTTCCTTTGCAGTGATTCGAGTGACACAAGGGACTCTCCTCCCTCGGAGAAAGAAGAAACCGCCGCAAAGAGCGAGAAGAACGACGCGAGCTTCGGCAAAGAGAGTAACAGGTTCCCTCTCCAATTCCTCCAGAAGTGTTTCCAGCTGAAGCATTGCTTGGGGAGCATCTGCGCAGGGCGAGAGAGCACGAGGCGGGTGGCAGAGAAGCGCCGGAGTCGCCCCGACACAGGGCGGCGTGGGGTGGCGCGGCGGGTAGGGGCGGTGCTTAGCCAGGACCCGGCCAGCGAGGACAGGGCTGCGCGAACTGAGGTTATTAAGCGATTCCCACCGGGTTTGCCCCAGACAACATCCTCGGGCGAGAGGCAAAGGGCTCGCTGACTCGTCGAGGCAGACACGAGTCTGGTCGTTGCACTGATTCAACTGGCTTTAGCTACAGGGCACAGGGACGGCTCAGCAGAAGGGGGCAGGGAACGAGTTCGCGGTTGCTCCGTCCTCAGTCGCTCCCGGTGTCCGGTTCCCCTTTCACTCGGTCGCTCTTTCCTTGCAGCAGGATTCCCAAAAAGGGCTTCGTCGAGGTGACTGAGCTAACGGACATCAACTATAACAGTAACTTGGTACGCCTGAGGCCCGGTCACATGAACGTGGTCTTGATCCTGTCCAACTCCACCAAAACCGTCCTCCTCCAGAAGTTCGCCCTGGAAGTCTACACCTTCACAGGGTAGGCTGGGCCCCCTCCCGCGTTTCCGTCACCGCTTTAACAACTTATGTCGTGCTGCTCCGATGACAAGTTAGGAGGAGCGGTGTGGGCTCGATCGCCAGGAAGGAACGCTTCCGGGGGAGCAAAGCGGCCTCTGTGCTCCTTAGTGGCAACGAGCCGCCAAAAACCAAGCGGCTTTTCCCAGCCATACTCGGGAAAGGTGGCCGGACAGGCCCGGTGCTGCCGCCGCTGTGGCTGGCTCGGCCCTCCGCCGCTGTGGCTGTATCGGCATTTCAACACAGAGAGAGCACGACGGTACCGCACGCTTGGTAACCCGTGCCAAACTGGGTTAGAAAAGGAGCTGTGGTGACACGGCGCTGGGTTACAAAAGGAGCTGTGGTGACACGGTGCTACACCTGCCCTTGTTTACCAACGCTTACCTGTCCGGTAGGAATCCGGCCTGACTCAGGCGATGTGCTAATCCTGCTTCTCCTCTGCTCTTCCCTCAGGAGCAGCTCGCTTCACTTCTCCTTCCTCAGCCTGGACAAGCACCGCGAATGGCTGGAGTACCTGTTGGAGTTCGCACAGGACGCGGCCCCCATCCCGAACCAGTACGACAAGCATTTCCTCGAGCGCGACTACACGGGCTACGTCCTGGCTCTCAACGGCCACAAGAAATACTTCTGCCTCTTTAAGCCTCACCGATCGGGGGACGAGGGGGGAACCCTGGGATCGTGCGAGGATTACGATTCCTCGCTACACACGGAAGCTAGAGGGAAATCCTCCTGCAGCCCGGGATCTAGATCCCTTAAGAACAAATTACACAAATTGTCCTTTTGGATGGAACGTCTCCTAGAGGGTTCCTTACAGAGGTTCTATATCCCCTCGTGGCCTGCGCTAGACTGAGGGATTTTAAAGAGAATCTAACGGACAAACTTTTTATGAAGATGACAAGGGACAGCTCTTTCCAGGAATAAGCAAACAAGCGTGACAAACGGACCTCGGGTTGTAGATGAACTCTCCTAGGGCCTG